CGCTTGTTCATCCGGTTTAGAACTTTCAATGGTTTTTGTCTTTCTCTCTAATGTGGCAAATGATAAGATATCATCCAAGACTGATAGATAGTGGCTTTATTTGAAGAAGAAATTCATGTGGTCACGCCTTAGAGCATGATTAACATTATATCCGCGGAATGATTTCTTAGGAATAGTTTTTTTTTTGGAGTTTTTAATTATTATTTTATTCAGATATATAAAAAAAGAGAGAATCAATCGTGGGGTCCGTAAACAATGCAAGAACTAAAAAAACCGATCATTAGTTAAGCAATTTAAGAAACAACTTGGACACAGTTTCATAAAATTTGAAGGACACATACTAATTTAATTTAAGAAACAACTTGGACACAGTTTCATAAAATTTGAAGGACACATACTAATTTTTGGCTAAAGATTCATCTCTAAGATCTCCCGTTGTTGATGCTCTTAGCTTATCGGTCTAGAGTTACAAGTAGCCCAAAGTCTGAATGTAGCTAGATTATAGCTGATGGTATGTTTTGACTTAAGGATGTCTCAGCAGATTGTGTGTAGGATGTGCTGAATGATCTAGGGTATTTTGTGAGAGTTGAGTGTCTCTCATTAATAAAGTTTGTTGTGTTTTAGTGAATCGAAGAAGAAGGGTAAGTTTAGCATCTTAAGTTCTTATCATATAGACATTTATTCTGGGTCGTATTTAAAATCTTGAACACTTAGAGTACGATTAATGTAGGGATTTAGGATGGGATTTTTAGATGAATATAAAAAACTGTCTCTTAACTGTTAACTACAAAATTAAGAACCGTTTTTATTTAATATTAGTAAAGATCTAATGCATTTTCAATCCAAATTATTTGTTCAAAAAAATACTACTTATGATAGTTGCCTTTTTTGATACATAATTATATTTTTTAGATACTCTCTCATGATTAAATAAAAATGAAAAATAACATACAGATTTCTTGGCAAACATAAGTAAACATGCTATATTAGAATAAATATTTTTTGAAAACTTTTAAAGTAATATAAATAATTTAAAAATAGTTAATACAAATATATAAAATTTCTATTATTCCATAAAAATAACAAATTAGAATACACATATGCAAATTCTATATAACATTAAAAAGTTGACAAAAACAAATATTTATTTTATTAATACAGAAACAGCTATTTGGACCTAACATTTTTTTGTAATATTTTAAATTAAATACATTTTCCTACCTTATAGTTAAGCTTATCTTAAATCATTAAAACTCATTTATTTATACTAGTATTCATGTTTCTAAACAACACTATAGACTATAGTTAATCTTGTGTCCAAATAGTATAAGACATTAGATCTCATTTTTTTTATTCTTTTAATAATTTCCTTTCAAACTATTTAAATAAATTAAATATTTGAAAATATAAAATAATTTATAAAAATGAAAATAAATATAAATTTTATAAGTTTATAAACTACAAAATATTCCAGTCAATAAAAACTTAATTAAATTAATAGAATAGTTTATTTATATTTCATAAATAATGGTTAATGTGATTAAAACAAAACAATAATAATAAAGTTAATTAATATATATATATATATATAAAGTAATATAATATTGACAGATTTATAAGTTTTAGGTATTTTAGATATTATATATCTATCATTTTATATAGTTAATTAAATTATATAAAAAAGTAATAAAACTACAAAATAGTAAATTTTAAATTTAGATAGAAGTCGACAAATTATAAAATTATAAAAATTGAAATCAAATTAGATCACATATCGGTCATCAATCGGTTATTAAAATATTAAATAAAAAATAATCATAAAACTTATGGTTGATGATGAACTGATGAAGAGTAACGGGAAAATGGTCATTTCATACCCAACATATCGCGATATGTTCAATTCATACCCGACTTATATCACCGTGCAAAAACATACCTGAACTTTTGAAAATTTTAAATAACATGTCCATTGTTTATCTTCTTGGCGAAATCATACACCGGTCGCCACATCAGCTACCACGTCATCTCAATTTGCTGACGTGGATGTCATGTCAGTTAATTTTGCTGACGAAATGCCACGTGTACATTTTTTATGAAAAAACCAAAATAGTGGTTTATAAACTTTTTTTGAAATGTAAAAATTTCATAAATTTATATTTTTAATAAAATTAAGAAAAAATAATTAGATAATAAAATTTTAATATTATATACGAGATATATTCGTAATTTTTTTGATCATACCACAATCCGTCCTTATAGAACTTATATATATATGATGTAATGATTCAAGTCCAATGCTACTGTTGCTTCATAAGTATATATTTCTTATGATTTTATTTTAAATTAAAAATTTTACTTCGAGTTATTCGAACCGATCTGATATAACCTAAATCCGAACGATATATAGTTATTTATGGGTTTTAGGATGTGATATAAAAACTACCCGAGATGTTATATCCAATCATGATCCATACTTACAAAAATACTAATATGGATTTTAGGACGTGTTACAAAATAAAACTGAAATCTAAAATACTCCGACTTGAACCTAACGGGTACCCGAACGCTACATTTAAAGAATCTGTTATGTAAACTTAATATATAATATTTAGAAATATATCTCTCATATAAGATAAAAATATATTATTTAATTAATTTTAGTTAATTTTACTAAATTTATAAAATTTTAAAATTATATTTTATAAAAGTTTATATTTTATAAAATGACTATTTTGGGTTGTCTAATAAATATTTTTACGAGTATATCTCTCATATAAGATTAAAATTTCTTATTTAATTAATTTTTGTTAATTTCACTAAAAATCTAAATTTATAAAAATTTAAATTTGTAAAAAAAAAAATTTATAAACCATTATTTTATTTTTTTAGAAAAAAAATTTGTAACATGACATTCTCGTCAGCAAAATTAGCTGACATGGCATCCACGTCAGCAAATTTAGATGACGTGACAGTTGATGTGGCGACGGATGTATGATTTCGCCAAAAAGATAAACAATGGGTATATTTGAAAATTTTGAAATTTCATGTATGTTTTTGCGCAGTGGTATAGGTCGGGTATGAACTAAACATATCGCGATATGTTGGGTATGAAATGGTCGTTTTCCCAAGAGTAACTTCATTTGACAAGTTTGTCGATAGAGATTCTTAGCTAAAATTGAGCCAATTAAAAATGAGCATGTGTATTCTCTAATATCTCAAGAATATACATAACTCTTTTGAGAGAGAAAAAAAAGAAATATAACTCTAAACTAGGTGTTTTGTCTGCACTTGCAGGCATAATTCTCTTATGAATATTTATTAGTTGATGTTTCATTAATTTAAAAGTTAGCATAGTAAGTTATTATTTATGTTTTCAAAAAGTAAAAATCAAACATCAAATAATTATCAATGACAAAGCTCAAACATCAGAAATATTTAAAAGAATATATTTCTGTAACTATTTTATTTATTTATATTTAATTATAATATTTATATCTTAATTTTAAATTTTATATTAGAAAAGCATATATTCAAGATAACAATATCATACGAAAATATAATATGATAATTTTTTTAACTATATAATAATTATATAAGATTATAGAAATTATGACATATAAAAATTACCTAAAATCATTGAGAACTTAATGAATCAACAAATCCACTTCTTAAATAGTTTTTCTTGAGTGATGATTTATATTTAATTAATAATAGATAATTTTTCTATTTTAATTTTAAATTATATAATATAAAAATATATTTTCACGATAACAACATAATACATAAGAATTACCATATTATCTAAAAGTATATTATTATTAGTGTAAATTTATTCCATTTATAGAATAACTACAAATTTTTATATCTTAATTTTAAATTTCTAATAGAAAAATATATTTTTAAGATAGCAACTTAATACATAAGAAGTATTTTATTTTCTAAGAATCTGATACTATTAATATAAATTTGTTTTAAATATATAATAAATTATACATAAAATTATATAAATTGATAAATTATCAAAATTACCTAAAATTATGAAAAATATGACAAATCAGCAAACATCAAATTCACTTTTAAATAATATTATAGATTTTTTACATATTTATTCTAAATTTTAGAATAGAAAAATGATTTTTCAAGATAACAACATATTACATAAGAATTAACATATTTTCTAAAAATCATAATATTAATATAAATTAGTTTTAATTATATAATCAATAATAAAAAATTATAGAAATTCTAATATATGATCAAAATTACCTATGATCATGGAGATATATCAGCAAATTCACTTTTCAAATAATTGTTTTGAAGATTTATATTTAATTAGGATTTCTATTTAATTATTAATAATATAATTTTTATATCTTAATTTTAATTTTTATAATAGGAAAATATAATTTCAACATAACAACATTATCCATAATGATTATCTTATTTAGAAAATATTAAATTATTAATATAAATTCGTTTTAATTATATTAAAATTAAATTATTAATATAAATTCGTTTTAGATAAATATAATAGTGTTTATATCTTAACTTAAACAAGTTTTATATATAAAAATATATTTCAAAATAACAACATAATTCACAAGAATTATCTTATTTACTAAAAATATGATATTTTTTATTAAATAATAAATTTTATATGAAATTATTAAATAAGGTAAATAAATAAATTTACCTAAAATCTCTATATTTCAAAATAACAACATAACTCACAAGAATTATCTTATTTAAGAAAAATATGATACATTAATATAAATTCGTTTTTATTAAATAATAAAATTTATATGAAATTATTTAAATAAGCTAAATAAACAAATTTACCTAAAATCAATGAGAAGTTGACAACTAAACAAATTTAATTTCTTATATAAAGTATAAATTCTGAGATCTGTTTCCTAATTTTCTTACTTTTTTGTTTAATATATAAGTTAAAAAAATCCCTAAGAAGACGCCGCTATTCGCTTGTAAGGTTTGGTAAAAAGAGAGAAGATGAAAGTTGGGATTCTTAAGCTTAGTTTCCCTGCTGACACTCCACCACTTTCCGTCATCGTTGCTCTCTCCCTCTCATCCTCTCCTCCGGTGACTATCGACTCCTCCGCCCCCGCGTCCACCGTCCCTACTCTCGTCTTCTCCGACGGGTATGTATCTTTTATTTACCGATATGATCACTTCTTGCTCCTCTCTCTCTGAAACTAAAACTAAAACCCTTTTGTATTTAGGCGAAAATTGAGTGGCACATGGGTTCTTCTTCGCTATGTTGGTCGCTTGATTCCTGGTTTCTACGGCCGAGATGCTTTTGAATCTTCCCAGGTCTCCCTCCACCCTTTTCAATAATCGTTTTTTTTTTGTGATTTTTTTGTTTAAAGTCGTTTTCTTTTTCAGATTGATGAGTGGGTTGATTACTCTCCTGTCTTCTCCTGTGGTTCTGAGTTTGAGAAGGCTTGCTCTCTCGTCGACAACTACCTTCAAAGTGCAACCTTTCTTGTTGGCCACTCTCTTTCCATTGCTGACCTTGCTATCTGGTCTGCTCTTCTTACTGGTAAGTAAAAGTCTTGTTGCTTTGATAGCTTACTAAGGCGTTATCTGTTGGCTTAACCAAGATGAAAGAAAGCCTGTTTCTTTGATAACTTACTTCTCTTGGCTTAACCAAGATGAAAGTCTGTTTCTTTCTTTGTTAGTTTAATACTGAGGTTGGTTTCAACACTGTTGTTATTAGGATCTGGTGGCCCGAGATGGGAGAGTTTGAGGAAATCCAATAAGTATCAGAATTTGGTTAGATGGTTCAATTCCATACTTCTTGAGTACGCTGAGCCTCTCAACAATGTGGTGGCAACATATACTACAACTCTTGTGAAAATAGGCTCCAAGGGCCAAGACCGAGTTGATGCTAGTGATAATAAAGGAAAGCCTGAAGTGGACTTGCCAGGTGCTGCACAAGTTGGGAAGGTCCGCCTCCGGTTTGCTCCAGAGCCAAGCGGTTATCTTCACATTGGACACGCTAAGGCTGCCTTGCTCAACAAGTATTTCGCTGAGAGATACCACGGGGAAGTGATTGTGCGTTTTGATGACACTAACCCTGCTAAAGAGAAGACCGAGTATGTTGACAATATTCTCAAGGATATTGCAACGTTGGGGATCAAGTATGAGAAAGTCACTTACACTTCTGATTATTTCCCTGACCTGATGGACATGGCTGAAAAGCTGTTGCGTGAGGGTAAGGCATATGTTGATTACACACCCAAGGAACAAAGGAAGAAAGAGAAGTGGGATGGGATTGAATCCAAATGTAGGAATCACAGCGTCCAGGAGAACTTGAACTTATGGATGGAAATGATTGCGGGAACTGAGGATGGATTAAAGTGCTGTGTTCGCGGGAAGTTTAACATGCAAGATCCTAACAAAGCCATGAGAGACCCTGTCTATTATAGAAGCATCCCCATGTCTCACGACCGTGTCAAGGATAAGTACAAGATATATCCAACCTACGACTTTGCTTGTCCCTTTGTTGATTCTGTTGAAGGTATAACGCATGCCCTTCGTTCTAGTGAGTATCGTGACCGGAACCCTCAGTACTATAAAGTTCTGGAGGACATGGGAATGCCTAGGGTTGAAATCTATGAGTTCAGCAGGTTAAATCTTGTTTACACTCTTCTCAGTAAGCGCAAGCTTGAATGGTTTGCCGAAAAATTTGGCGGGTGGGATGATCCACGCTTACCAACAGTCCAAGGTATGGTTCGTAGAGGTTTGAAAATAGAGGCACTGATCCAGTTTATTCTCGAGCAGGTACACACACCATTGTCTCTTTTGCTGCTGCTTCTTTGTCTCTTTTCGAATGTTCTGTAATATGATTCTCTGTTACGTTTGTTTGTTTTCTAGGGTGCTTCTAAGAATCTTAATCTGATGGAATGGGACAAGCTCTGGTCTATTAATAAGAAGATGATTGATCCTGTGTGCCCTAGACACACTGCTGTGGTTGAGGAGCGTCGTGTACTGTTGACATTAACGAATGGTCCTGATGAGCCTTTTGTTCGCATAATAGCAAAGCACAAGAAATTTGAAGGTGCTGGAGAGAAGGCGACCAATTTCACCAAGAGCATTTGGATCGAGGAAGCTGATGCGAGTGTCATCTCTGTTAATGAGGAAGTCACTTTGATGGATTGGGGAAACGCCATTGTAAAGGAGATTACAAAGGACGAGGATGGTCGTGTGACTGCGTTATCTGGTGTTCTTAACCTCCAAGGGTCTGTGAAGACTACAAAGCTGAAGCTCACATGGCTTCCA